CCTTAGCAAAGCGCATCCCAGGCTGCATAGCCGCACTACCCTACCCAACCATACCACACATAAACATGACACTACCCCCGGGGTTTACACAGACGAGCCGGCGAAGCAAGAAGAGCGCCAGAAGAAAGGGCCCTAGCCGGCGGGGCCCAGCCAGGACAAAAGGAGGTCCCACAAAGCGCCTACACCGGCCGCATTTGCGGTCGGGGTAGACGACGGATGGGGCCCACCTACGAAGGCTGTCCAGGCCTACACGAGATGAGGCAGGATAAAGAGGGATAATCCCCCTCGATCCCAAATCATTGAGGCCAATTTCTAGCCATGGAATAATGGCGGCGGCGGTCCGAAATTAACTGTACTTATTTTTTGATGGGGCATTGCAAGTACATATCCATTTTTTTAATCAACCTTTATTTATAAAAAATATATAAAATATAAAATATGTGTCTAACAAAAAAAATATACTTACTTTTTTTACAAAACTAAAAAAAATATATTTATTATTGGTGGAGTTTATTATAGTTTAGAGTAGTAGCTATCTTATATATACTTATAGTATTGTAGTATTAGTATTGTTTATGTATCGTATTTGACAAGTGCTAGAGGACTCTGAAAGCAGGTGCAAAATAGAGTCACTGAATTAAGTGATTACTAAAGGGCCCTAGCCGGCGGGGCAGAGCCAGGACAAAAGGAGGTCCCACAAAGCGCCTACACCGACTGCATTTGCGGTCGGGGTAGACGACGGATTGGACCCACCTACGAAAGGCTGTCTAGGCCTACACGAGATGAGGCAGGATAAAGAGGGATAATCCCCCTCGATCCCAAATCATTGAGGCCAATTTCTAGCCATGGAATACTACAAAATTGTAATTACATAGAAACTGAATTCTGCATAATTGACCGACAATGAAAAAAAATAAATCACTCATACTATACATACTATAACATACGACTTCACTCGCGAAAAAAGGCTATTATTTACTCCACTTTCCCTCCCAACCTCTCTCAAACCCAAGGTCGGTAGGAGTAGGTTCAATACAAACTTTGACCCAGTGGCATTGCAGCATTTCAAAAGGCGGGAATACTTTATGGAATAATATGATCTTTTTCATTTCCTTCAATATTAATTTGAATTATTAATCATTTAAATAATTTCTGCTGGAGTAGATATACATGGTGTCCCGAAATTCATGCAACTAAATTTGGTCACAGATTCTTAAGACAAATTTAGGGCTCGTATTTTTTATTTTTGCTAAGTGACTCCCTCTTTCGGAGTTACAGCCCCCTGAAGTCCGCTACTAAGAATAATCTTTTTTTTTATATCTCAGAACCCTGTTGTACGAGAATCACTAAATTTGGTCCACAGGGGTTTTATGACATGTGGAATCTGATGGTGCTACGTTTTTTGGCGGGAAACCCCCCTTAAGACTATTTTTTATGGGCCCCCTTGTCTTTGGAGCCAAAAAAATTTGGTGTTGTACTAGGCGTTGAGAGTATAATTCAATGCCGGTCAGGGCGTAATAGCCCGCGGAGTAGTTGTTTCTCGTAACACTGGCAATTTAAAATTAAATCTGCTAATTTTTAAAAAATTGTTATTCACTTAAGAATACTTATAAAAAAACTACTTTATAGTTTTATTTGCATCACTTAATATATTGAATTATAAAATAATAATAATCAAGAATAAGAACAAGCAATGTATTACAACCTATAATTTGCTAAATTAGCAGCTTCAGACCATGCTGGATAAAGTGAATTGTCAATCTCCGGCGCATGACTTTGACCTGGTAACAAGCGATGATTTGTTCCACCAATTTGTACTCCACATTCATTACATGTTGAAATTTGATTAGCGCCTCCACAGTCAGCACTTGAACCAATGACCTTTTCCTAAACCAAGAGCTGCTACAATTTGTTGCATTTCTACTCTAGTAACAGCTATTCCAGATGCCACCAACTTACTGAAGTCAGTAAGTTCTGTTTGTAAAGTAGCGTCAGTTTCTTTTGTATATCTTTTCAGTGAAGTTAGCAGCTCATCAATGTACATAATTTTGGTTTTAACATCGTCTCTTCTTTTCGCATAATTAAAGGTTTCTGCATTTCGGATTCTTTCATACTGAATAATCCGTGATAAGCGTTTAATTTCTAGACCTATATCTTCAATTTCTTGCTCAGTTATATGATTCTCGTCACGCATTAGTGCATTAACTATAAAAGAAATCTGAACGGTAGAAACAGTCGTTAAATCATTTTCTTGTTCGCTACAAACTTCCACCACAAAATCAATCAATTGTAGCTTGGCACGGATAACATCTAAATCTATTTTATTCACGGTCTGCCTACGTAATTTATTTCCCTTTTTCTTAGAAGACTGCAGCCTTTCATTCAAATTATCTATAGCACGACCTAAATCTGTATCTGAAAATTAAAAATATATATATGAGTAAATAAAACGTATAGGTACATGTTATAAACTGATACAATATGGTAAAGAATAGAATAGTTTTTTTCTTTTCAAAGTATTTAAGGCTATCAATATTGGTTTTGCAATTAACTCACAAGCGATACTGTCTACAGTAATAAAATAAGCTGTAGATTTTGTACAATTGTTTACATATGTGAGAGGTGATTCTATATAGGGTCATGATTTGCCACATAAATATAAGATAGGTAATAAAGAAATATTTAATGGATTACTATTAGTAAAAATTTATATTTTTACCATAAGAACATATTTGTATTTTTAGCCATTTAGCCCATTAACTAAGGAGAACAAAATCTAAATTGTCCCGTTGTGCCCACTCAAAAAGTGAAATTTCATCAGAAACTTTTCTGAGATTAAACACACGTTTGTGTAGTTTCTAGATCTAGGAGCCACTGTATCAATTTAAAACTTTCCATTGTCAATATTTCAGGCGATTTAAATATAAAAATTTCCCACGACAGGTCAATTTTTGTTAGTAGCGTGACAAATTCTGGCATAAGCACAATGGGTTACCCAATTAAACACAATATAGCATTTAAATATTGATGGATATTATTTTAAAGGTATTTTTATGCTGTAGACGAGTGGTATTCAAGCATGGGGTAAGCGTACCCCTAGGGGTACGTGAAGACGCCTTAAGGGGTAGGAGAGGGGTCCTAGGAAACATGAAAAAAAATTAAGTTAATTAATAATTATACACTTCCATTAGTTCTCAATATTCCATAATATTTGTTCATTTAAAAAATAAAACTAAAGATTTGTCTGCAAATAAAGAAAGTCAAATTTTCCATTTGCCATTAATTAATCTGTTTAAATTCCAATGTAAATGTTGTACTTATTGTATAGGCACTAGACATTAAAATAAATAATTAAAAAAATCATATTTACTACTATGTTTAACTTTAACATCTAGCATTATACTATAAATTTAACTAAAATATATTTACTCCAACTCTGATTATACTAAGATTTAAATTAAGGGGGTACCTGCATATAAAAAAATTTTTTAAACGGGTCCCCGAAGAAAAAAGTTGAATACCACTGCTATAGACTGTAGTGGCAAAATTTTGAAATTGGCAGATTTGTATAAATTAACAAAAAAAAAAAGAAAAAACCTCAGGATTAATTATGTTTCTTCTACACCTTTTTCAGATGTATTTCAGAAAAATTAGTTTTCATTCAGAACATGTAAATTGTATTTCAAATTAATTAATTATTCTGTCATTTGGGTTATTCCATGTCAAATCAATGTCAATGGTTAGAATCGACCCCCTTCAATTTGGACGAAATTTGATCAAAAGTTTTCCTTTATCATAAAGCAAAGATCTGCCAAAGGAAAACAAATTAAAAAATTTTTTTTCGAGTTATTCAAAATTCAAAATTTCACTATTTTTCCAATTTTTCAAGTTTATTTTTTAAATATCTTGAAAAATATTATAGTTACAGAAACGAGCTTTTGTTTGTTTTAAAGAGGACACCTAGGGCTATGAAGAAAAAAAATATTCCGAAAAATAATTTTGAAAAATGAAAAATTTGTAGAATTTTGAATTTTCAAAAATCGTCAAAATTGACTATCGACGTTAAATTTTTGGCTCAATTTTTTTTTATAAAATACCTTCAAATGATCTTAAAAGGTCTTGAAATTTTCAGTTGCGTTTTTTTTTCAAAAATATGAATTTTTGAATTTTGGCAAAAAAAATTTTTTATTTAATCGCTAAGTCAAGTAAAGTTAAAAAAACATGTAGTTTTGTAATTTTCAGCAGGAAAAAGTAGGAGAAGCATGGTATGATCAGCAAAGAGGCAAGCAGGGTATTGCCCCAGTACTACGGAGTGTCAAGGCCACCAAAACAGAATAGCTTCAACTATATGTGTATTGGGATTTATTAGCAAAGAAATATCTTTTTTTCTTAGTAAAAAAAATAAAATCTTTTCCCACTTTTAACACAAACTCTTCAAAGGTGTTTTCGTCTCAGAATTCCATCCTTTTTCTACCTCTTAACTGCCTGTCAACTATTTTTGGGACACCCTATATAGTCAAAAGAGTTTTTTTTTTGTCCATGTCTTTTTTATTATTTGTGATAGATATCAAACCTTATATTATTGTAATCTTAAGGAGGTTCGATAAATCTCTTGCGGGGCAGTGGGTATGGGAGGGAAGCCTACGCTTGTACACGGGAGTTTCGTTGCAGTACCAACAGTACATAAACCAATTTGAGCAAATTAAATATAATATATGCAAATGAAATTTATACAACACATATTAGCTTGCATATATTTTTCGTGTTTAATGCACAGTAATTAACTTTTTATTTGAATAAAAGTGTCTATTTATTCACTAAGAGCTTGTAAAACTATGGCTGAAATCTGGCAACATTGCACATCAGTATCGCGTGGTGGTAAAAGTTGGGTCAACTGTCAACTGTGCATAGCACGTATATCACAAACTTGAATGAACATCCAAAGTAATGACTGAAAAGCAATATAAAAGGCGTATGAAGCAGATAGAATGTGGATTGATGAGAAAAAAGCAAAATGTGCAAACCGAGAATCCATGTGATAACTATCAGTCAAATTGAAGGTTATGACAGAAAATGTATACTGTTGTGTATTTTATAGTTTATAATCGAGCTATTCAAATATAGGTAGCGCCTCAGTAGAAACGTTAAATACAGCGGACACCGTTGCCATATTTCCATTCGTTGGATCAGATGTTTGTTCAAATTTGTCAAAATGTTATCTATTCATTCCATTATCTCAATAATTACATTGTAAGTGCATATTTTTATTGTCTTAAAATGTTTAGTACTATTTAATTCTTTAATTTCCCGATCCTAACCATTTTTAAGAGCAATATTCACGTTTGATGAAAGTTTTTTCCCAATTCTCATAAGTGCCTGTGTATAAGAGAATAATTTTTATATCATTTTTCAAAAAAAAACTACGTTGGCAATCGGTCTGGTATTTTTACACGAGGCAGTGTGCATATTTATTAGCAGATTTCAATTGTTTTGAAAACTTTCTTACAATTTTTTTTTCGCAATCGAACCTCCTTAAGAAAGCATTCTATACGTATACAATGTGTTATAGGTATATAAAGAAATTATAGGATTAATAAGTATATTTGAAATGCGACATTCAATTGGTTTTCTAAGTACAGGTTTGATGAAATCACAAGAAAAATTTCTACAACTAGTCCAAACAATTTTTTTTCTAAATACAAAAGCAATAAAGTTAAATAAGGTAGAATATTATGTGAATAATTCTGTACATAATGTGTATGTAAAATTGATGATGACTACAACACTAAATAGTAAATGTTGATATATATTTCACGTTTTCTGAAATACAACTGATGTTTTCTGAGACACAGTGGGTATATATATTTTCGTGTCAAGCTAATTTCAGAATTCATTCATACTACGTTTACAATCCGTAGTATTTAACAGAGGCCAACAAAATAACCAGATTATACTTTCCCGAAGGATTCCAACACACTGAATATTGAATCAGGATCCGATCTTAGAATTGCTCCATTATCCAGGTTTTAGAGATACCCTAACCTAAATGTGCAAAAAACATGGTTTTTCGCTATATTAAGGTGCGTCCAAACTTGAACATTTTATCCTGAACGAAGAGAACGAACTGAGCGCGCAGAAACAAGCAGAACAAATAGTCCGAATAAAAAATCATTGGGTTCGCACGAATGCAAATACATATTTATAGATGTTCCAGTTGCTCAAAGTGTGTGGTGTATAAAATGTATATGATATTTGCTCTTATTGAGAGATTTAGAGGAAAAAAAATATGAATATTGTAGTAGCTTTTAACGCTTTTTTATGATCTGTAAATTGGTGAAAAATAAGAAAAAACAACGAAGTCAATGGATATGAAAATTCTATCAATTCACGGGGTATTGCTCATAAGTGTCTACTAATTTTAAACACTTTTCTCTATCCCATTCCATTATCAAAATATTGTATACATGTGGAAATAATAAATCTTTTTGTTGATGTTATGTACCTTCAACACGGCGCAAACGACATGAACGCTGCGAATAGCACGAACTTAACTTATTCCCGTCAACTGAATAATTCGGCGCACCATAAATCACTTTGAGCAATTCCGATTTACCGACAAGCTCCGGAAAACGTTTGGCGCGTTCGGTTCGGCTCGGAGACAGGTCCAGACTTTACAAATTCTGCTCTGCGCACTGCGCAGGCAGTTAATTCTTGTTCAGGCTAAAATGTTCAAGTTTGGACGCACCTTTAGAGGTTATGTTACATCGCAAGACAATTTTTCTCTACAAAACTTGTTATGGTATCTGAAAGTACTACAAACCAATTTAGATTGCTCAAATATCGCTTTTCCTTCCCGAAAAATCGTTTAATGAAATTGATTAGTTTGGCATATTTGTGGATATTCGGAAATGAAGTATCAGGTTTCTGGAATCGCCGATTACGAATCTGAAGTCAGAATTACAAAATCCGAATTGACACATTGACAGATCCAATATGGTGATGGATATGGCATGTTGGAATGGTATGGAATTTAGAAATGAAAAAAAAAAAAAAAATGCTCAAAACCTGAAAAACAATGGGAATTTATGTGTTTGTAATTTGATTCTTGTCTTTTTGAGTTTTCACCAGAAGCTACTCTATTTCTGAATGTCGATGAATACACTGAACTAACTAAACAGACGATTTCTTGGAGAGGAAAGATAATTGAACAATTCAAAACCGTTTATGAAGCTAAGTAATTTCAAATGCCATAACGATTACCTCGCGATGTAACATAATTTCAAATCTAGGGAAAGACCGTGTTTTTTTTGTATTTTTAGATTAGCATATCTCAAAAACCTGATGCGATTTACGATGTGAAAAACCTTTAGAAATTTTGTCGGCCAGTCTAATTTTACTTTTCGGTCTATTTTGATCCATATCACAAATATGTTGCACGCGATTCACTTCGAATACATGAAATGGTAACAAAACAGTAGTGATTCAAACATGTAAGAACAAGAACAAACATTCCAATAATTATAATCCTTGGTTTTACTATGAATATACACCCCCAAGCCACAAATATTTTCAGAAAATATCCAAATACTTTAATTTAATCCAATACACTTTGCAGTATTGGAATCAATATTTTACCTTTGGAAATAACATAAATGTTATGAAAAACAACTTACTTTCATATAGTATTCTTGCTTTGAGTTTAATAGCGTCGACCTCAAATAAAATTTCAATCCTTCTAAGATTATTTTCTTCAACAGTACCATTTGATCTATTTTTAACATTTATAATATCAGACATACTTCTTTTAATGTATTCACTAAATCTTTCAGTACTTGTAATAGGCGTCTTGCATCTTGGGCAGAATTTTATCATAATTTCGTCACCTGACTGTAACCATTTCTCAATATTTCCACTTTCAAAAATGTGTTTACAGTCTTCTAACATAACATAAACGGCATCTTCTTCGTCTTCATCTCCCAGAAATATATCAGTTAACTCATCGTAGTTACAAATTTTACATAATATGGGGCATGGATCTCCACAAAATCCAACACAGGGATGACCACATTCTAATAGTTTTTTACATAATTCATAACATGGTGGAATATTGCAAATTTGATCACAGCGTTTCTCACATTTCTGATGTTCACATCGCCTCTTGCAGGATTCTTTACATCCGTTACAAGGATCTCCACATTTTCTGGAGCATTTGCTATGAGGGCATTTATAATTACACTTTTTCTGGCAAGGTTTACAAGCCTCACTGCAAGGTATTGGGCATTCATGATTACAAATTAATGTAGTACCACACTTTTCTTTACATCTTTGATGGATACGACCCTGTGAACACTCGCCACAACCTCCAGAACAAAAGTGGCCACATTTTAGCTTGACGTTACATTTTTCTGTACAATGTCGTAACAGAACTTCTGGATCAACTATAAAAAAAAAAGGAAATTATTGACATGTGAAGTATTACAATGTGTAACTAAAATGCCTTATAAATCCACAGAACACTTAAGGAGGGAACGCATTAGGCGGTCGCGGTCCCATCGCATTGCAGACCATGCTAGTCACGATCGCCCGCGGTGAAGTTCCTTCCCATGTCTTATAATGTATGCATTCGCACCAGACATTCCCGAACTCGTCTCCTGTTCTCCACTGATCTTTTCCAAAGTATCTCGGGAGATCATAAAAGAGCCAATAAAAATACCTCTTCCATAGAACCCATTTTCTTAACTATTAAAACAATAAAGCAACTATTTAAAGGAGAGCGCGAGCAGGATTGTGTGCTATTGCCAAATGCAACCGATTTGTAAAAGACTGCAATCAGCTCAGCCCAAACGATCCGCGATGCGACGGGACCGCCTAATGCGTTCCCTCCTTTAGAGAAGAAGGATCTACAAGGTTTGTATGACAAGAACAAAAAACATTTTTATGCGTATAATTTATTTTATTTTCCATACATTTTTCTATCTAGTATCCTCTCTAAACAATATGATTGCTCAAACCCATCAAAATAAGTATTTGTTTGAGCAATGACCTTAGAGCCAAATTTTTTTCTGCCAAGCCATATTTGGAAGCGGAAGCAATTCGTATCCTAACTCATGGAATTTCGCCATATAGGCCAATCAAATTGTCGAAAATATCTAATTTTTTTGCCAAAAAATTGTTCAGTAATTGAAAATATGTAAAAATTGGGAAAAATTCCGTATAATTCAATGAACTACTTTACCCCACCTGAATATATCAACATGTCAAGCCGAGCAACAATATAAGGGGTTCATAAATATGAAGTTTAATGAAAGAAAATGGGACCAACCGTTGTGTACTATTTTTTATATGAGGTACAAGTATTCAACTGTAACATGTGTAAATTTCAACCCTCAATATTAATAAATGAGGTTCGTGGCGTTTTTTCGGGAAAAAAAATTTTTCTCGGCTCCTGTTGGTCGTAGGACAAACTTTTTTTTTAAATTCGTGAAAAAATGTCAACTTTCGAATGGCAGTAGCAACATTTTGATACAAATTGAAATTTTTCGATCATTTTTTGCGATATTTGAAATCGATTTGAGGCTCTCGCAATATTTGCATGTAATAGTGTAATAATTAGAGAAAATTTTAAGCGCAACCCTGTTCCTAAAGATGTGGCGGCCTTCTAATTATGGGGATTTTACCAAAATGTTTTTTTTCAAAAAACTTGACTTTTGCAAAAACTATATAGTATTTTTCAATTTTGAAAAAATAATTTTATTTTGCTCACCAAGAGCTATCCTTTCACCAACCTTCATAAAAAAATCTTTATTTTTAAAAGAGATACAGCTATTTCCAAAAATTGCGATTTTTAGCAGTTCTTTTGTAATAACTAATTTATTTATTTATTTATCGATTAAAACCGGTTTGGGCTTATTCGATCCATATTAAAAATTTCTACAACTTTTGTTTGAAACATTTTTTTTCTAAAATGTTTTTTTTATAAATGAAAAAAACTGTTTTTGCGAACTTTGGACGCCATTTTTAAAATGAAACCCAAAAATTCAAGTGGGGTAAAGTAGTTCATTGAATTCTATAGAATTTTTCCTAATTTTTACATATTTTCAATTACTGAACTATTTTTTGGCATCTGACTAATAGCGACTGTGCATTGTTTTGATGGAAAAGGATTTCTTTCTTCGCCAAATGCAGACATTTTTAATTTACAGCATGATTGAAATAGTCCAATAAGTTGACATAATGCTTTCCATTAATCGTTTTGCCCTTTTCAAGGTAACTGACGTGACTTATGCCGCGAACATCCCAAAACATTGTAGCCATGATTTTGTTCATTGATAAAGTCGCCTTAGCCTTAGCCTTTAGCACAAAGAGTGACCGCAAAAATCGCCCGCTTTTTCATAATTCGCGGAGAACTAAAGAAAGTAGATAAAAATATGTTTTTGGTCTCAAATTACTCGTAAAAAATTAAGATGANGCCGCTCCAGCAGGAATGTTTTCAAAAAAGGGCTTCAGAGGGCGCGCCTATTCGCGACAACCCTTTCCAATGTAAAGAACATAACATAACATTACCAATAAATATAAAAACTATTAGCATGTGAACTTTTCTATCGAATGATTCTTGATACAAACAAAGATTTATTCTCATGACTGAAATAAGCATGTTGAATTAGAAAATCCACCCTTAAGCGCATTCAGGGGGTGGAATCATCCCCAAAAATAGAGAATATCAGAAATAATTGTAAAAATTCCAAAAAAATAGTATATTAAAGTATAAGTGAATATTAAGGTCTTTAAAACACGCGCGATTTTTTGAGCACGACGGCGCAGCCGGAGTGCTCGAAATAGAGCAAGTGTTTTAAAGACCAGTTATCCACGAATACTTTACGCTATTTTTTTTTGTTGGTACACGTTGAAATCACAAATATTGTATTAATACTACAAAAAATGGAAATAAGAACTAATGTCAAATGGTTGAATTTGTGATGTTACATCAGTATACCTTTCGTTGTCATGAAAATGAGAAAACAAAAATTAATTTGTAACTGTACTGTCATATAAGATTAATTGCTGTCACCACAGTTATTACTAGTTGTATATTGTTTAAAAATGACTTCTAACATTGATTACTTATATAGTAAAGCAGAATCGCGATTAATACCGCAAAAATCAGAAAACGCTTATAGAAAAGAATACGACAAGTTCATCAAATGGATGGAAGAGCAAAAGGTAACAAATACAGATGAACGAGTTGTGCTTGCTTATCTTCAGAAAATGTCAGAGCAGTACAAAGCGTCGACTATGTGGGCTATCCATTCGAAATTGCAAAGTATGTTGAGGATAAACAAAGGGGTAGATTTAAAATCATTTACGAAAGTGTATGCATTCATGAAGGCAATTAGCAAGAACGACGTAGCGAAGAAGGCATATGTATTCAAGGAATATGATTTGTAGAAGTTTTTCACGGATGCACCGGACATTACATATTTATTTTTGAAGGTGGTATCCATTTGCGGTATTTTTGGCTCTTGTAGAAGATGTGAATTGTGCGACTTAACGCTTACATGACATCAAGGAAGAAGGAAGCGTATTGCTTATTACTATCCGACCAACTAAGACAGTGAAAGCTCGATGTTTTACTGTTGGCGACAGTGAAGGAATTAGTTATGTGCGTTTGATAAAGCAGTATTTATCATTGCGTCCCCAAAATGTAAGTACAGACCGAGTTTTCTTACGGTATAATAAGGGGAAGTGCACCAATCATGTGGTCGGTATTAATACATTCGGATCATGTCCCTTGCAAATTGCACGTTATCTTAAATTGGACGATCCTGAGAAATACACGGGACAAGCGTTTCATCGCACGTCCGCTACCATTATGACGAATAATGGCATGACAATAGATCAAATCCAACGACAAGTAAGATGGAAATTGGCAGCTGTGGCAACTGGTTATGTTGAAGAGAGTATTAGCAATAAGAAAAATGTTTCACATTATTGGGAGTGCCATTAATGGAAGTGCAACCATTGCAACCTCATGGACTTCCGAAAATGTTAGCTGTATTAATTTGAACAGCATTTCATCTGATTTAAAAAACAGAAGAATTAATATTTCAAACAATACCAACTGCACATTTCACATTCATTTAAATAATTAAGATGTTAAATATTTGAATAAAACTTTTGAAACATNAATGTTTTATGGTTTATAACGAAGATGCATAGATGAAGAGTCCCCATAAACTTCGTTTTAATTTCATCAGATGTTTTCTTTTTCAAAAACAAATATTTTATCACTGTTCGATATTCAATTTTTTCCATTGTTGTAAAATTACAAAAGCTGTTCCATTTAGGTGGCTGGCATTCTCTAACTAAACCAAGCAGTGACTTGACACTTTGGCAGTATTGTTGCGAACAGTTGTTTACAAAAAATATTACTTTTTAGATACTAGTAGCGCCATCTCTTGCCTAGGCCGGGTACTTATCGTTCAGCCCTCATACTTTTTAATATAGGAATCCCCGCTTAAGCGCGCTCAGGGGGTGGAATCATCCCCAAAAATAGAGAATATCAGAAATAATTGTAAAAATTCCAAAAAAATATATTAAGATAATTCACATACTAATAGTTTTTATATCAATTGGTAATATTCAAATTCTTCATTTTTGGTATTTTTTCAACCCCTAAGTAGAGGTGATTTTTAAAATTTTCAAAATACTAAAAGCTATGCTCATTTCAGTTTTTTATACCAAGTAATTTGTGACCAAAAACAAATTTTTATGTATTTTTTAATTCTCTGCAAATTGTGAAAAAACGGGCGAAAATCACAGGTTTATTGTGGTCACTCTTTGCCTCCGAAAATCCACTGTTTGGATTGTTCCTTTGTCCCTGGCTGTGATGAATCCATGTTTCCTCAACAGTTATGAACCGAAGCCAAAACTCATTTCGATTGCGTTTTAACATCGCAAAACATTTTTCTGAAGTTGACACAGGCGTGTGGTTTGTTGTCAATTGTGAGCAATCATAGCACTCATGTCACGGAAAGCTTTTTCATATTCAGATAGATTGTTAAAAATTCTTCACCCGTTCAGTTGAGTTGCCCACAGTCCCAGCAATCTCACGCACTCTTCGATTGTTTATAACGATTTGTGGATTTTTTCAATAATGCAGCTGTCCAATGTTTTATGGTTTATAACGAAGATGCATAGATGAAGAGTCCCCATAAACTTCGTTTTAATTTCATCAGATGTTTTCTTTTTCAAAAACAAATATTTTATCACTGTTCGATATTCAATTTTTTCCATTGTTGTAAAATTACAAAAGCTGTTCCATTTAGGTGGCTGGCATTCTCTAACTAAACCAAGCAGTGACTTGACACTTTGGCAGTATTGTTGCGAACAGTTGTTTACAAAAAATATTACTTTTTAGATACTAGTAGCGCCATCTCTTGCCTAGACCGGGTACTTATCGTTCAGCCCTCATACTTTTTAATATAGGAGACTTTTTTAAAGGCAAAATTCTGTATCCTCTTCAAACATATTTATAAAAAACTGTATGTCTTTACTGATTTGTGTTATACAATTGTACACCCCTTAAAGGTTTCGTAAATGTCCTAAAAACGTCGCCGAAACCGTCATATCCACTATAACGTAATCACAACTTCTTAATATTTTGGTGATCTCATTTAGTTACTGTAGTGTGCTTCCTCTTCAAAGTTTTGAGAACTTTATAGTGGTTCTACCTAATAAATGTACAAAGGCAGAATAGTGGCAAAGGTTTGTTAAGCAATGAACTGCACCTTTACACCTGCAGCTACTGCAGATAAATGAATGATGAAATAAATAAATTTTAAATAGATGTGCGATAATAACATAATAAAGGGTTTTTCAATAAGGGCGGGTCGATGTTGATATGGAATAAAACAAGTTGTGTGTGAGATATCAACGGAATTATTTTTTTATTTGAAAGGTCTATGTATGCCATTATGTATGGAATATGACATCGTTCAAATGTCCGCCGCAGCTCCGCATAGTAGCACGGATCCAAGAGGTCCAATTTTAAATGACTGCCGCATAGATCCGGCTGAATTTGAGCTATGGCCTGAGTTATGTTGATTTTGAGGGCATCGGTTGATTGCGGCTTATTGGCGTAGACCTGGTACATACTTCAGAAAACTCCACAAGAAAGAATCAAGCATGGTCAAATCGCACGATCTTGGTGGCCAATTCACGTTACCTCTGTGAAAGATAACCATATCTTCAAATCGTTCATGCAGAATACCCATTGAGACAGTCGCTGTGAGGCACGTAGCGCCGTCCTGTTGGAACCACGTTGTCCCCGTCCATATCGTTCAATTTGGACCAAAAGAAATTGGTGATCATTGATCTGTAGCGCTCGCTGTTGACGGTGATGGCCTCACCAACGTCGTTTTCAAAGAAGAACGGACCATTGATGCCGCCGGCCCAAAATCCGCACCAAACAGTAACTTTTTGTGGATGCATTGCCACCTGGTGAACCTTGTATGGGTTGGCGTCGTCCCATATACGACAATTTTGCTTGTTAACATAGCCAAAGTGCGCCTTGTCGCTAAGATGATTTTTCGGCCAAAATTGGGGTCCTCTTCCAAACGTTCCGAAGCCCAGTCAGCGAACAAACGGCGTTGTCTATGGTCATTAACTTGTAACTCCTGGGTCAGTTGGATCTTGTACAAGTGCAGGCCCAAGTCCCGACGCAAAATTCGCCAAGTTGAAGTCCGTGAAAGTCCGAGTTCTTGTGCACGGTAAGGAATAGACTGCCTCGGGTTCTTCTGCACACTTTCACGGACAGCGGCAATGTTCTCGGCCGAACTGGCGTTCCTTTGACGTATGGGTGTTGATTGATTGTTTACCGAACCGGACGTCTCGAATTTGGCCACCAAACGCTGAAGAGTTAACTAAGTTAACTTTGAAAGACAACCGCGTCTCTCGTAAAATGGGCGCAACGCGTGCAACGTTTGCACTAACGAACGCTCATTTTGATAATAAAATGTTATCAATTGGACGTGCTGTTGAATCTTGTAACTTGACATGATGATTTGGCATCAGTGACTGAATAATAAGCAACATATCTGACAGATGCCGAAAAAAAAACATAGCCGCCATAGACTGTCAACATCGACCCGCCCTAATTGGAAAACCCTTTATAATGGTAAATATGTTGCTACATCCATTTCAACGTTAATCTGTTTCATAATATACTGTTTTGCAATAAATAGAAGTTTAAAACAGTTGTTAAAGCGATTGCAAGAAATGTCAGTTTAGACGTGAATTTGGAACGTTGGTATACTACTAATAAAACCAAACAAAAATATATAAAATTACCTGTATCTTTTAAAGCACAACTAATTTTCTTAACGATGTGTCCACATGGGCTTGGTTTTGAGCAATCAGTAATACCTTTACAAAATGTTGTACATTTTTCATTACATTTTTTGTTGCATACATGTCCGCAAGGTAACAATCGTGGGCATTTCCCTTTACAAAATTTACGATCAGGTTCTTCCGAACATTTTACTTTTACTTTATGCTGACAATCAGCGACATACTTCTCCACCTACAATGTAAAAATTTTTCATCAAAATGATAATTATTTCTACAGAGAAATAGCTCAAAATCAAAGACTTACTTTGTGATTACAGTTTCCACATGGTTCATTACATTTATTTCCACACTTATGTCCACATGGCAATACTCTATTGCATGGTTTTGTACATTCTATTTCATCCACATTTGTCTTACAGGGAACTTTAAAGACATGTGAACAAACTGTTCTGAATTTCTTAATACCAATTTCGCAGGTATCACATTCTTCACAGCACAACTTAGAACATATGTGTTTTTCTTCTTCTGGAAAACTGCAACCTATTTTAGGCTTGATGCAAGGTTTTTGACATCGGTACTAGGAATTAAAAATACAACATGTTAGTTAAAAATAATACGTGTACTTAAGATTTTTTTTTAATTCGCAAGAATAGAACATTGTTCCAATTCTATTCCATATACTCGTACTATAAAAAAAAGGAGAAAAATGTGTATTATACAATAATTAAATAACGAAATCGTTAATAAAATTATTGATTTCACGTTTTCCAGTTTTATATACATACTTGTTCAAATATTATATTGATCAATTCATTTTTTATTAGGCAATAAGTAAACTTTGATAACTTTTTACTCCTTTGTGTAGTACAAGCATATAAAGTGGAATAAATCAAATAGTTAATGATCATACCGTGTTGAAAATTACATGGTTAATTTTTAAACCTATCTGCAGAAATCTAATTTTTCAGAAATATGGACTTATCTCCTTCTTGCACGAGGGTGTTCATATTCAGTAGTTGTTGAAAAAATAATTTACCATTTGAGTAGAGAATTGTTAATTTATCTGATGTTTATAGAAATAAAAAGTTTTTGGTTTCTGCCAAAGTACTCAATGTTAACGACATGGAACAAAAAATAGAGACAGATCTAAACAGCACGTATACAAGATATTAACAATTTCCTAGTCAACTCAGAGTTTTAAAATATTTTCTTCTAGAAGCGATTTGCTACAAATAAGTGTACCAAGTTGGCAAAAAATCATTTAACTAGAAAAAAGTTATAACAAAATATCAATTTAAAAAATAACTTTGAAAAAAAGGTTCCAAAAAAGGTTATAGGAATTCGTAGCATTATTTTTATGAATAGAATTGCCTAGAATAAAATTGGGTTTTGTGCCCATGACAACTTTATATCAGGATACTCTGAAGAGTTCATTACCAAAATATGAGAGAGATCCGCAAGGGGATCCAATTCTATAAGGTTTGTGCGGGGTCCTTTTTTGCTCATATGAGATCTGTTCAGAAAATAAACAAAAGTTATTTTTTTTAAACTTTATTATTAGTTTTAGACATTATTGGTCTTTGTCTTTCTTCTTCAAAGTACCCCCCTTCCCTATTCATACACTTTTCCCAGTGGTGTTTCCATTTCGCGGAGCAGTCCTGTATAGCTTCATTTGAAATGACCTCTAAAGTCTGTAATGAATTTGCTTTGACGTTATCAATAGTCTGAAAACGGCGCACAGTGTGCCCATTTGGACAAAATTCTGCCGACAGTGCAAGACTAAACCGCTTTTCATGAAAATTTTTTTGCATGTTTGTTATACCTTGAAAAATTACCTATGGGTGCGATAAATTTAATTTGTGACCTTTTGACCTTGATAAGATTCGAATTCGTGGGACACCCAGCGTGTTGTGCATAAAATACATTTTTAAAATAACTTCACAGACATTTTGGACCACACAATGCTCACTTCTGAGTTCTTATCATCATTGTTATTTCAAGCCATATCACCAAGGTCATTTGAAGGTCAAAGGCGTATTTTATAGCCATTAGTGTGAGAAAGTAAAATAACTCCCTTGTTATTCATAATATAAAAAAAAAGTTTATATAAAAGTTGCACAGAATCATAAACCTGAAGTACAAAATTAATTTGAAACATGCAGGGCGATGAGTAAAAACGACACACGCCAAATATTACATTTTTTAAATGGAACACCCTGGATATTTTTAAACATATGGATTTCTGAGAAAATTCTATATATGGCAATATAAACAGTTTAACATTTTAGTGCGGGGCTTCCAAGTTATGTGGAAAATTCTTCAAATTTTGGAAGAAACATGATCTCGCAGATGTTGTATTAACTTTCAACTACTAACACTTGGAGCAAAAATAACGAGCGTTCAAATAAAAACGTGGTCAAAGTTGGCTCTGACACATTGGACGTAGGGAGTAGCTTATAGCGACCAACTTAACCTCATTTCTCAACGAGCTGTATAGCAGCTGTCAGTTTCAATAACGTTAATGACTATATAACTTTATTTTAAAGAATAATCGTGATAACAATAACAAACAATTAAAGGAGCTGCAGAAAGTGTCCCCCTCCTTGTTCCAAGCACTTTTCACACCTGTTCCTCAAAGAATTAAAGACATTTTCTAAGATGCTCGGGGTATTGTTAATTTCACGAATCTTGTCTATAAGTCGAGCCTGCAGATGGTTTAAATCAGGAATAGGCAGTTCAAAAATAGTGTTTTTAAGATAAGGCCACAAAAAGAAATCACACGGCGTAATATCACATGACCTCGGTGGAAATTCATGTTCAGCATTGAGACTTATTAGTCGATTTTGGAAAACTTCCCTCAACATATTCATCGTCTCGCCTGCCGTATGTGCCCTTGCTCCATCTTATTGAAAGTAAAAGTTTGTAATTTCGTTTTCTTCCAGCTGGTTAACAAAAGGAGCGATAATTTCTTCTCTATACCTTTGCGCAGTAAGAGTACCATTAAAAAAAATAGGTCCATAAATCCTCCTTCGATTGAGAGCACACCAAACTCCAATTTTTTGAGCGTGTAGAGGGCCCTCGACAAAAAAGTTATCTGGTTTTTCAGAAGACCACATTCTCATATTCTGTGAGTTTACGTAACCACTTAAATGAAACCAGGCTTCATCAGAAAAAAAGGTGATATTATGAAGTTCACCGTAGTTGTTTAAAAACCATTCACAAAATACAGCCCGTCGTGGAAAATCAACTTCATGAAGTTCTTGCTGACAAGTTAAACGATGGTAGAACAAAAGCAAATCTTTTTTTAACACTGTGTGGCAGGTACCGACTGATACTCCCACCATTTGTGATAAAACACGTACAGAAGTTCTTGGCGCATTTTCCATTATTTGTTGGACATTTTCTTTTAATTCTTCAGTCCGCTTTTTAGGTCGGCCGCTTCCTTCTTTTCTTGTTACACTGCCCGTTTCACAAAAAACATTAACACAACGCTGAACTGCACTTTGAAAAATTTTGTACTCAACAATGCCGGGAAATTGATTTTGAAATTGAATACTTCCATATTCCATCAATCTTGCGTCCATTTCTAAAGTAGGACTCTATGATAAACACTTTTTGTTCTTGAGAAAACACCATTTTAAACGCTTTTTAAAACGAAAATATTCAAATTGATAGCGGCGATATAGCGCTTTGACAGATGACGTTTAAGTTCATTTGCTATACGCTATGCCCTACGTCCAAATTTTCAGAACCAACTTTACCACGTTTTTATTTGAACGCTTGTTATTTCACAGAGTTATAGCCAAATGTTAGGCAAAGACTCCTAATATCCATATTTTATACAGGGCATTTTTTATAATACGATCATTTTAAGACAGTTCAAACTTGATTTTTTAAAATTTTTCTAATGGAACATCCTATATTTTATTGTTGTTTTATTCACATATCAGTCCACTTCAACTTTTATTAAGTATGTTCTACATCTAAAGTTGTTAATTTTTAAGATATAGCAACATTTCTGGAAAAACCTAATTTTTATTATTTTCCGTCGCACGAATTGGCTTTGGAAAAAAACTATCACATTGTGTCAACTTGTCAGTTCATAATTTATTATTCCATTTTGAGTTAATTTTATTAGTTAATATTTATTTGTGATATTCTATAAAATAATAAAAATTTAGTTTTTTTTAGAAATGTTGCTATATATTAAAAACTAACAATTTTAGATATGAACATGCTTAATAAAAGTTGAAGTGGACCGATATGTGAATAAAATAGAACAATAAAATACAGGGCGTTCCATTTGAAAAATTTTAGAAAATCAAGTTTAAACTTTCTGAAAATGATCATATTAATAAAATGCCCTGTATAAAATATCGATATTAGCTAATATAGGAGCCTTTGTCTAACATTTGCTATAACTCTAATTATTTTGTTCCCAGTGTTAGTAGCTGAAAGTTAATACAACTTCTTCAATGTCATGTTTTTTCCAAAATTCGAAGAATTTTCTATATAATTTGGCAACCCCGCACTAAAATGATAAACTGTTTATATTGCCAGATAAAGAATTTTCTCAGAAATCCATATGTTTAAAAATATATAGGGTGTTTCATTTAAAAAATGTAATATTTGGCGTGTCCCATTTTTACTCATCACCCTGTATGGAATTCATTGTAATCGGATTAGTCTTGTACTGTCGGCAGAATTTGTCCAAATGGGCACACTGTGCGGTGTCCATTCAGCACTGATTTTAATTTCAGAAATAAGAAAAAATCGCAAGGATCCAGGTCTGGGAAGTAAGGAGGGTGAAGGAGGACATTAATTTGATTTTTGGCACAAAACTGATGAATTGAGAAAGCTAAGTCAGCGGGCACACTATCATGGTGCAAGAACCATGAGTTGTCTCGCCACAACTCCAGTCTCTTTTTGTGGATTTTTTCAGAAAACCACTGTAAAACGCCTTGATAGTACACACGGTTCACTGTTTCACCTTGTGGCAAGAATACAAAATGCACAATTCCATTAGTCTAAAAAAACAGTAAGCATCACTTTGACATTGGATCCGGTGTGATGATTGAACTTTTGTCTCAATGTTGTAGCCATAAACCCAGCTTTTGTCTTCCGTTATAATCCTTTGAATAAATGTTTCATCATCGTTGGACTGTTCAAGGAGTTGCCGATAAATGTCCACACAATTTTCTTTCTGTTGTTCGGTCATCAAACGAGGAACAAATATTGCTGCAACTCGATGCATCTTCAATTTTTCAGTCAAAATTTTATGGCTTGACCCATTTGAGATGCTGACCTCCTCTGCAATTTCTCTGACAGCCAATCAGAGATTTGTATGCGCCAGATCTTTGACTTTCTGAACATTTAAATTATGAAAACCATTTATAACATTGCGTACGACCCACAGCATCATCTCCGTAAACTTGTTTCAAAAGTTGAAACATTTCCTTAAAATTTTCCCGTTTCACAAAAATTTTACTTTGTATCGTTGTTCCAGAAAATAGTACATTTAAAAATCCTCATTAACACTTAAACCTATTGCACTCTAATAATAATATCACGGGAACTAAATGACAATCCAAGAACATGTGGTTACAGAGGAGGTAATGCGCAACGCAATGTTGCCAACCTCATATCGCTAAATATTTCCATTAACACGTAATTCAAAAAGTCCAGTTATTTTCTGAACAGATCCCGTAGTTCTTCGAACACCTTGTATGTATGTATTGAAATCATTAATTCTAAACATATTTAACCAATGCAAAAAACTCAAACCTCTAAATGATCTGGATCCACCCGTATATGGCAAGATCTTGTACACGCGTGACCACAAGGTTCGACACGAACGGCACATGGTTCCGGACATTTAAAACTTTCAGGATCCCTAAAACAAGGTTTGTCCACTTCATGTCCACATGGTAGAACAGATTTAACTAGAACATCACAGTTATAACTTGTTGGATCAAGGTGGCACTCAATCGTCACTTTGTGACCACAATCCAAGACGTGCTGAACTGGATAAGTGCATGGACCACATTCTTTGTAACATAACTTTTGGCATACATGTTCTTCATTATTACATAGCACTCTGAGGAAAAACAGTTTATTATTATGATTGGTATGGGAAAACAAACAATAATATTAATAAACCTTATTAGTTGTTTTTAAATTTATTGTAAACATATTAAACTGATTGAAATAAGTTAAAAAAAATCCAAAAAAATCCTATGAACTGAAGAACAATTTTTTTGGATACCAGAAATCTAGGTATCTAGGTATGCACAGTCAAGATTCCTAACTGTTAAAACAACTACTTTATGGGCTACATCGGACCTGAAGTTTGGGGCCTAGCCTGGTCCACTATATTTTTTATTGCAGTCTGCTTAGAGTTCGCATTAGGCATATTATTTCAGAATAAATTGTGCATCACAGATTTTGTGAAAAAAAATAATTGTATCAAAAGTAGTGACTATAAATCAGATAAGAATGCGCTATTAATTTTTATACCAAAGCAAACTTGTATGAAAAAATCGAATAATTTTTAGTAATAATAAACTTTTTTATACAGGGTAGTCAAGATTTTAATAGACAAACTTCGGGAAACTACTAAACAACAAAAATTAACATCACTTTGCTCTATGAACATAGGCGCAGAAAGCCACCGTTTATGAGATACAGAGCGTTTAAATTAATAAAAATAAAACAATTTCTTTAAATATCTGGAAAACGGCTTTATCAAATTTATACAAATTTGGTACACATTTTTTTTCAAATATTTCCCCTAGTTTTGTATGCACATAGTCCAAATTCAAAGACCAGTGGTGGAGAAACAAGGCTGTCGTTTTCTTATTTAAAGTAAAACTTCGACGCCACTGAATTAATTGGTAATATGAATACATTTTATAAAGGTCTTAAACATTCGGGATGTAAAAACATTCTTTTATTTTTCTCGAAAGGTGAATGTTTTATGAATTATGAGACATATTATTCAAGTCAACGAAGCGCTGAAATCGTGAAAAATAAAACAAATTTGCGTGGTCCAGATTTTAATGGACAAACTTTGGGAAAGTTTTAAATGACAAAAATTAACATCACTTTGCTCTATGAACATAGGCGCAGAAAGCTACTATTTATGAGATACAGGGCGTTGAAATTAACAAAAATAAAATATATTTTTTTAAATATCTGGAAAACCGCATCATAATATGATTCATAACTCGTAAACCATTCACTTTTCGACAAAAATAAAAGAATGTTTTTTCATCCGAAATGTTCCAGACCGTTGTAAAATGTATTTTATATTACCAATTAATTCAGTGACATAAAAGTTTTACTTTAAATAAGGAAATATCGTTTCTCCGCCACTGGTTTTTGAATTTGGACTGTGTGCATACAGAACTAGGAGAAATATTTGAAAAAAAGTTTATACCAAATTTGGATAAATTTTCCAGATATTTAAAGAAATTGTTTTACTTTTGTTAATTTCAACGCCCTGTATCTCACAAATGGTGGCTTTCTGCGCCTATGTTCATAGAGCAAAGTGATCTTAATTTTTGTTGTTTAGTACTTTCTCGAAGTTTGTTTATTAGAAATCTGGACCACCCAAATTCGTTTTATTCTTCTCTATTTCAACGCTTTATTTACTTGGATAATATGTCTCATAACTCGTAAACCATTCACTTTTCGACAAAAATAAAATAATATTTTTTCATTTGGAATACTTCAGACCGTTATAAAATGTATTCATATTACCAATTAATTCAGTGGCATAGAAGTTTTACTCTAAATAAGGAAACAACGTCCTTGTTTCTTCGCCTCTGGTTTTTGAATTTGGACTGTGTGCATACAGAACTAGGAGAAATATTCTAAAACAAAATGTGTACCAAATTTAGATAAATTTGATGAAGCGGTTTTCCAGATATTTAAAAAAATTGTTTTATTTTTGATAATTTCAACGCCCTGTATCTCATAAACGGTGGCTTTCTGCGCCTATGTTCATAGAGCAAAGTGATGTTAATTTTTGTTGTTTAGTACTTTTCCGAAGTTTGTCTATTAAAATCTGGACGACCCTGTATATTAAGGTATACATTACTTTTTTTATAATTTATTTAAAAAAACGTCAAGTAATGTACGTGTTGGAGCATACTGCATATTATTTTATTTTTTTAATTAATTTTATAACAGTAACTTAACAAAATTAATTGAAAAACGTTGAATGAAAAAAATAAAATAAACAGTGTACCTGGACATAAAAATATTCCTTAGTTTTTGAAGAATATATAAAATAAGTTTATTATAAGTAAACGGTTTCAAACATTCAATGTACATTTCAACGCCAATGCAGCCAACTTAAAGTTCTAGTCAAACTTACTTTATGATAGATAGCATGTTTTCCAAGTACAATTTTAGATAGCATGTTTTCCAAGCAAAATTTGAGATAGCATGATTTCGTAGTAACTCGTCGATATATTTTTTATTAATAAGAGGTGAAAGAAAAGGCCATAGATTTATGTCGTCTGTTTACTCACCGTTGATAATCCAACTAACAGGAACAGGTAATATTCAGATGATAACACCAGGCAGACCAGTTTACAGTCTCTTTCAGCTTCAGGAGTCACCAATTTTCCTGCTTTTAACCTCTCTCGCCAAAGGTATCCTGGTAAAACTGGACCACATCTTATAATTCGGACTATATCGAATATGCTGAGGATCTGAAACAAGGTTGCTCTGATAATTCATCGTATTATACCGNGATAGACAATTGAACACTTTACACGAAAATAGTTTGACCGTTTGACAAAATTAGCAGTGGCGTAGAAAATATTTTTAAAAAAGGGTCACGTTGACCCCGTCTCTACGACACTGCTGCTCATAAAAATTTTGAGCAGTACATCAAACATTGGTCTTAAGGTGCTAACTACGCATAGCAAATTTGAAATAGAAATGTTCAGGCATTTTGGAATTATTGCAGACAATGTTTAATTTTACAGAAACTTTGACGCCCTGTATCTCGTTAAGGAGGCATTTGTGACCCTATGTTTATTAAAACTTTTCGTCTTAATTTTTTATGTATTATCTACCCTAGAAGTCTGTCAGCGATTTTTTGAATCACCCTGTATAAGTTTATTATAAGTGCATGGTTTCAATCATTCAATGTGCATTTCAACGCCAATTTCTAGTCAAACTTACTTTTGTGTGAGAAAGCATGTTTTTACTTAAAGATTTGAGTTAACATGTTTTCCAAACTTAATTTGAGGTAGCATGTTTTCCAAGTACAATTTTAGATAGCAAGCTGAATTTGAGATAGCATGTTTTTGTATTAACTCGATATATAAAAAAACTAATTTTTTGAAAAATTTCCATTTTGAAATAACAAGTGTAAAAGGTGTTGAATATGATTAGGTTAATGTGATATTTATTGAGATGTTTGAATGAGTTATCGCTTTTACATGAAAATTAATGTTTTATTTAAAAAAAATTGTAAAATTCGTTTGTTACTGAAAGTACTATTCATCGTCAGTCACTATTTTCCATGTTTTTGGTAGCTGTTTAATTCCACGTTGGAAAAAGGACATGTCTTTTGAGGCTATACAAGAGTCGACGTATTTTTTGGCATCTTGAAAAGAATGGAAGTGGTGCTCAACTAGGATACGTGCCATCAATCGGAACAGGTAATAATCGGAAGGGGGCAATGACTGGTGACTTCCCATTTAAGCATTTCCAAGTAGGTTTTCACTGGTTTTGCAACATGTGGCCGAGCACTGTCTTGCAGCAAAATCATTTTGTCTTGTCTCTGTTCGTATAGCGGCTGTTTTTCCTTCAATGCTCGGCTTAGAAGCATCCATTGTAGTCGATAGCAGTGGTAGTTTTGTTCAGTTTGAGCAGCTCATAATAAACTACACCTAACTGATCCCACCAAATGCAGAATTAGCAGAAACTTAGAACCATTGATATTCAGCTTAGCCAGCAATGTTAATGCGCTGCCAAAGTCTGTGTCCACTTTTCATTGTGAGTCGTGATACGTTGCAAAAAATCCTTTCTTTTTCTGCTGTTGAAGCAGCTGTTCACAAGTGAAATGACACCATTCGATGTCTTACAAGTTGATGGTACCTAATGTCCTCGCTTTGGAATCATTCTTAATGCTTTCAAACATTTCAAAACTGTTGTGTGATCAACTCCTAATAATTCTGCAAGTTCAGTTAGTGAGTCTGATATGAGCCTACATGAAGTGTTGCCTTCAATCCTTCATCGTCAAGCCATTCCGGTGCATTATTCAACATCAAAATTATTTTTAAAGCATCTAAACCAATCTCTGCATGTTGTTTTCGACAGAGCATGGTTGCCATAAGTCTATACAAGAATTATTTGTACTTCAGTTGCAGTGCAGTAAAATTCACTGCAAATACTCTTTTTTCGGTATGAAATTTGACATGTTTAATATTATGAAAAAGAAGTAGTTTACACTTTGGCGAACTAACATACACTGATTGGATTTGTCAGTGTTACGAGAAACAACTACTCCGAGAGTATATGCTCCTACCAGCGTTGAATTATACTCGCAACACCTAGTGCAACAACTAGGATCGTTTGTTTAGCCATTTAGCCAATTTACCCACCAGGCACAGACCGGTTTCGGACTTATTAGTCCTCATCAGTGTGTCATAAGTGCGACAACCGACAAACGACCTAGCTGTTCTTCGTCGTATCATCACGAAAAGGAAATACATCGTACGCGGGAGCGCAAATGGCTCTATCTGTCATGCGGACTCCCAACTGTGCCATTCAAATGGCTACAGTAGGAAGCGACCTGCTATATTGCAGGTACTTGGTTGCACGACTGCCATCCACAGAGGGCGTAACACAATGTTTGGAGTTGTCAGTGTTACTCAGAGTAGTTGTTTCTCATAGCACTAACAACTCCTAACATTGTTTTACGCCCTCTGTGGGTGGCAGTCGTGCAACCAAGTACCTGCAATATAGCAGGTCGCTTCCTACTGTAGCCATTTGAATGGCACAGTTGGGAGTCCGCACGACAGATGGAGCCATTTGCGCTCCCGCGTACAATGACATACACTGAATTTCAAGCTTGCTTATAGTACTCATTTATAGGTGCGTTACTATCTTTAAATTACACACACGCAGTTCTGGTAAAGCCAACTGTTGGGAAACAGTGAAAACTTATTCAACATCCCTATAATAGATGGACAAGAGGGTTCGTCTAATTCTTGGCATTGCCCAGTTTTAGGAGAAGTTAGACCATTTGAGGCCTCGGGTAGTGATCAGATTTAAAAAAGTACCACGAAAAGAGGCAATTTCTTAAACTATTATAATACAGTAATAACTGTAATAGATAATAGAGATAAATGTGTAAATTTTCAGATGTTAGAGTATCGATTGCAATGCCCTCTGGATATCGACGACCTACAAACGTCAAAATTTGTGAGCGAGCCTAAGCCCTTACATTCACTTATCTGATAGCGTAGATTATAAAACCAATGTTTATAATAAAATATTTCTTTGAAAGATCACATTATTAAACAGTTTCAACATATCAGGTATGTATTTTCGTATTAATTATATTTACATATATTATTGTACTGCTGGTGTAATTCAATGCTAGTTGGGACATGTAGCTTACAGAGTAATTGTTTTCCGATATTTCATCAGTTAGGAATCTTGTCTGTGTGGTTAAATATCTTTTACGTATCTACATTTCTAGTATCGAAGAACATTGACTTTGACATGACAAAATTTTTTAGAAAAAACATTGAATTTGAATTAACTTAATACCTTCAGAGTAAAGTAAAAAACTATGAGAACTAATACTAGGATATGTTTTTTAACAAGTTTATTTTTATGGAGTTTTTGTTAAAAGTATTTTATTATAAATTTTTGTTATACCTCATGCCAAGGTTTCCAACTGTTATCAAGTTGTTTAACTGTGTTTGTCAATACCAAAAATTAGGACTGATCACACTGATATGTAATTTAATTTAAATGTTATGATATTGTGAAACTCGTAGTAAAAATATTTTAATTATTAAAAATTTTCCAAAATATTATGCTTTGTACTTAGTATCGCTTAATATTTTGGAAGTATATTATACGAGGTGTTTCAGGGTTATCTAGCCAAATTTAAATTTTGAAATTAGGGGTTAAATTAAAATGAAAAAGTGTCTGAGTATTTCCAACATAAAAATTTTCTGCCAATTTATGACAACCAGTCACATAATTAAATAATATGCAATTATGTATGTAATATATTATTTTTGACATTAATACAGATGACATTAGTCTATTTTTTTGTGTTTTAATTAAAGTAACAGCACAATATTTTGGAATATATTACGAATTTGGCCTTTCTGAAAACGTCTTTACGAAAGATTTTTTATTTTTTTTTTGAATAGGGAATATTCGATAAATAGAAATTTTCCCACCCCTATCAAAAATGCTTCATGTGAAAGAGGTTGAAATTTGAAAAGATTTTACATTTTCTAAAATATCTCTGAAGACGTTTGATATAGAGTGATGAAACTAATGGAATAGATTTAAATAAAGCAAAAAATCCACCGAATCAGACATAATTACGTTTATTTTGAAAATTCGATTGCTGTTTGTAACTCCTAGAAACATTTTGAAAAAGATTTCTTCCATTTTATTTGAAATTCAGATTTCTTTAAAGTTGTTTGCAAGGAGCATAGCTTGAAAATTATATTTCGGTCGATAGCCGCACGATTTAAGGCGTCAGTATTTAAATCGTGTACTAATTCTGTCCGGATTCGATTCTCGCGGCCGGTAGACCGTAGATTAGCTATGCTTATATGTAGGATTGGCACCCTCTGTGCAGGTATGGTAGGGTGGAAGAATGTTGGCTTGGGTCAATGTGAGAGATTGACACCGGATTGGCATTTGACCAACCCCCTAAGTAATGAGGTTTTCCAGGTTTCCCTCATTCCTGCACTGAATGGTGGTTAGGGCCTACCAACATAAGTCGTTCCTGGGCGCGAATGCGGCCTGCTTAATAATAATAATATGCCGCCTCCTCTCCCACACAAGTCTCCGACTTCTGGGCTAATTCTCGTGGTTAGAATGAGCGGTACAGATATTATTATTATTATTTGCAACGTTTTTAGATATCTTATAAAATGTGTCATTTTTTCAAATTTCAACACCCTGTATCTGGAAAATGAAGCAATTGCCTTCATTTTTTTCTTATTTTGATCACTGAAATTCAAAGTTTGGCCGATTTATCCTGAAATATTCTGCACATCATTGAATTAAAGTGTATCCCGAGGGCGATATTCACCCAAGGTATTCCGTGACTCGAAATTATTAATTAAAATTACTTTATACACCGATTCGATTATGACAGAAATATTAAATCTAGAAAATATGATAGAGTGTAAGATTTAACGTAGATATATAAAAATTATACTTACTTATTACATTTTTCATGGCATTTGTATACAACATGGTCCCTATCTTCTACATGACATAAGCTTTTACAAATATGACCGCAACCTAAGCTACTCTCACACATAAGACTGCATCCCCCTTCTGGGATATTCATAAAATCTTCAGCAGTTTTGATTTCTGTGAGTTTATATCTGTGTACTTGACACCTTAGAGTTAGAGAAGGGCCAATTGCATTTTGATTGGTTAACGATTCTTTAATTTTTATCCAAATCTAAAAAGAATATGTATTATACTGGGTGTACATGGTATAGTGAGTGTAGAGTAAGAAATTAAATTGTTATTAAATTTTATATTTAACAAAAGTAGCAAAAATTCACAAATTATAAAACATTTTCAAAATATTATCTCCTTACTAGTATGTAATTTTGGTCTTTGATTTTGAAGAAGGGTATGTTACTGGAGCTACATATTAAGCTTAAATTACAGGTGTCAATAATAATTATTAATAGCACATAATTAGTAATAATAAATCATTGGTATATCGGTTTCGCAGTTACAAAAATATTTTCAATAATTTCAATAAAACACTGTAACCCCGAAATGAAGCAAGTGTAAACTAAAAATTATCTGGTGGCGATTGTTCTATTTCATATATATACTGTATTATTTAGTATCAACAAATAAATAAAATACTGAATATAAACAAGAATACAAAAACTCTGACAGTATTGAATCATCTATATGTAAAAAAATAAATATAACTGTTTAATATTTTTCATAAGTTTGCACTTAACTTCCATGAAATATCGATGTCCCAAAATTCACGCAAGATTTGAATTTTGCGCCATGTATGCTGTAAACTGATACTAACAAAAAAAAAAATGTATGAATTTGACATACTTTTAAGGTAACTATAGTTTTTGGCGTATTTCGAATTGGCGAATTCAATGTGGCGCCTATAACGCCCAGAAACCACGAAAATTCACAAAAAATCAACACTAAAGATTAAGCAGCAATTAAATTGATCCCAAAATGCCTCGTTTGGATTTTTCGTGGATTATGAATAATATTCTAGTTAATTTATCGAATTTCAAAATGGCGGATCCAACATGGTGCTCATAGAAGTAAAAAATCAAAGATATTATTAAGAAGTCGATACTAACGATCCCATAATGATTCATTTTAACTTAACAAGGCTTACTAGGGGGTTCTTTAGACCCATAGTTTTAATTTCCAGTCAGGATGTTGAATCTCAAAATGGCGGATCCATTATGGCGCCCATAACAAGCATGAAGTTTGCTGGAAGTACTTATGATTGAACGACTGAATTTATGTAAACAAGGCTCACTAAAGAGTTTTCGTGAATTCCGTTTGATATTAGTCAAATTATCTGGAAAAGTCGTTAAAATTTACAGAGAATTCGTATGAATAATTTTTCAATGTTTGAGATCATATCGATCGTCCCGCATTCTGCGTTAAAAAGCTCTCCGCATTATATAGGGTTGAGACTGTCTTCATTTCAAAACCAGCATTACTTACTCATTACATTACATTACTCTTCATTTTTTTAATTTTTTTACTTTTTTATTTTTAATTTTTTTAATAAAGTACGGGTCTTGAAATGAAGACAGTCCCAATGCCAAGTGCCACTTTAATAAACGATTTAGAATTTACTAAAATAGCATATTATCAGTCAAAATGAGAAAAAATAATTACTTTTATCCTTTACGCTTACTATAACTATACTTACATCACTACTTGCGCAAAGCTGAGACATATTTCCCATTATATAAAAACCATGTTTTGCTCTTGAAAGAGCAACACAGACACGATTTTCAATTTTTAAAAATCCAATTTTATTTTCACTGTTACTACGTACTAATGATAATAAAACTATGTCATTTTCTTCTCCTTGATAGTTGTCCAAGACAGTAATCTTAACATCCCTTAGTAATGTGTACTGTTTTCTCTGACGAAGCATTTCAAACATTTGTCCCAAGTAAGCTGATAATATTGTTATATTCTCTGGTTTGTATCCATTTAATACGAGGTGCTTAGCAAGTTTGATTAAAAATTCTGCTTCGTGTACATTTTTTTTACTTGAATCTTTGCAGAGTTGTTCAGGTTCCTGATGATCAATGAAATAAATACAACTTTCTATTCCACGAATTGGAGGTCTATTCAATACCGATTCATGGTCCTCTAAAACTGAATAAATTGCAGGACGAATCAAGCTGGCAATCTCGGGTCTCATTCGATGTTGAATATTCAAAGTGTGGCACTGTATATTGTTTCTCACCATTCTCTCAAATAAACTTATACCGAGGAGGTATTTGGTTTCAATAAGAAAATTAGCGGTGCTAGGTTTTAGCTGCTGATGGTCTCCAATGAGAATTAAATGTTTACAGCGATTTGTCAAGGAACATACTATATGCGCTTCTAGTACTTCGGCTGCTTCTTCTACTATTACTATAGGGCTTTTCAAAGCCTGTAGAGAGGATTTTAAACGAGCAGCAGCTGTTGTAGTCATACCTACAACTAACGAATCTTTCATAATTTGAGTATCTTGAATGTCACGCATTTCACTGTATAATTTATAATCTTTACGGAATTCACGGTTTATCTTCCCTCTTTTTTCTATTAACTTTACTTTGAACTGTTCCAACCAATAAAAATATAAATGCCAACGTGAGTTGGGGGGCATTAGATTAGGGTTTTTCAAGTCAATATAATCCGGTGTACCTCTAAATGATCCTTTCGCAGCCTCAGACAATCTATGCTGAAAAATAATCGCAACAAATTATTTGCAATTTATTTATACTTTTGCAAAGTTACATCTCCCAGAATATGTATCGTTGTTGCACCTTCAAAATGGGACATTTGAATTATATCAAATTGTTCAATGAAATTAAAAAACTGTTTCTTGTCCCGTTTTATTTAAGAATTATTTTTAATTTTACCAAGCACAGTCACAATTCTATAGAAAATAAGATGGCTGTTTTTAACCAGATAACTTAACCCATGTTGCTAAAAATATTCTAATGCGGCATTCTGAAGGCACAACAACAATATACTTATTTGTTTATTGTTTATATAAAAATATACTTATAGGTCTGTACCAATGTGGATACACACAGTTTTTTTACTTTAAGGGGTAAAGCAACTCTAGAATTTAGGAAATATTGATTTTCTGATAAATGATTTGAACAATGTATTATTATGTGAAGAATATAGGAAAAAAAGAACGCAACCACACACAGCACACTGCAACTGTTTATTGTAACTCATGAGAACCAATTATATGGAGCAAGCATCGCTGATTGAAGGTATATGCTGACAGGCAAAACAAAAACAATTTGAAAAAATTCACAATGCTACCTGAAAAAAAGGAACAATATTGCCTTTCTGTTCCCGACACTATATCTTGTGTCAATTTTTCCTTGAAAATAAATCACCTTTTTTTAACTTCCAGAGTGGCGTTACCCCTTAATAAAACAAAATAATTTCAGATCAATTAATGTTTTGTTAAAAAAAAAATGTAAAATTTATATTTTTAATTTGGATAAAAAGTTCCATTTGTATTTGTTTAAAACAACGAATGATTTTAATTATGAAATAAAATACTCGTACCTGTAAATATCTGCAGTTCCTTTCCAAGACATGCAATTCATATACCAAGTCTTCTTCCGCCAACATCTTCCTTAATCTGTCTATTGACATATCTGTCTGCAACATATTTAATTCAGAACGTAATTTGTTCATTCTTGTAATTAAGTCTCCAACATTAATGAGTGGTTTGAAAGATATACTTGTTATATTGTCAAATATGTCATCGCGAATTTCTCTGTCTTCAATATCAAATTCCTCTTCTTCGTCAATTTCATCTGGATAACCATTACTTGTGTTTAGATTTTCTTGTCCCTGTTCAAAATATATCGTTTTTTTAGATTATATATGTGAACAAAAATTTCCAACAGTTGTAAATTCTGTCTTACTATAAAATTTTAAATTTTCTGAAATATATTGGTACAAATTTTAACAAAACGTCCCATTTAAGAAAATGTATATAAATAGAATTCTTGGAGTTTGGTCATGTAAAGTTTTAAACTAATTATTACATACCTATGTATCAAATTATTGTTTTTTTAGAGCTTATGGTAAAAAGATATTCATATCTTATAACATTCTATTGTTTTTCTCTGTTCTGCCTTTATACCCAATAAAAAAATGATCAGGACCAGTTTTAGAAAATTTTCTTTCAATATCAAAACAATACGTACTTAGAAAAACAATCGAATTTTATGTTTTTTGTTAAATTAGATTTAAATCAAACCTGTATTTTTTTCAAGAACACTGCAATTTTTCAGTTAGAATATTTTTTTAGTATATGTGGTATTACGATATAAAGATTCATAGATTTATTTGTAATAAGGAAAACATGGGTAAAAAACGAGGACTTGGTTGTCTATTCTACTTATAGGACACTCTTTTGGTCAGATTTCCCTTAGTAGTTCTCTAAACTTTTATTTTTGTAACCCTAACAGAACATTTAGCAAAATATGTACAAACATATATAGGGTGTTGGTTTATATTTCCGAAACACAACATTCAATCTGCTGTGAAATCACAAGAAAATTTATTTCCTAAAACTTTGGCCTTTGTAGATAAGGAATCCAGTCCCAGAATTCCGGAACCTCAAAGTACTAGGATCAAAATATTTTGTACATTCCAAATCCTAGGATTAATTTCGAAGTTCCGAGATAATCCCAAAATTAAATCATTTATATTTGACTTTCTTTGAATTTACATAAAAGAGAAATGTATTTATACTCGTAAAACAATTATTATACTTTGAAAAAAAAAATTGAACCTGGAATCCTGGACTTCCTATTTCTTGGTATGAAAGTAAAAAAATCAGAGCATAGAATTGCGTTAATAGCTTTAAAAAGGACTAACTTTTAATTTTTTTCAACGTCTGCTTTAACAAAAGGGTATTGTCAATTTTTCTTAATTCAATAATATATGACCCTTTTATTTAATTGCGTACTTCTGCCTCAATACAAAATACAATCAGTGATAAAAATTTGTTGATTTTATAAACTTAGTTTTACTTTATCAGAAATACGTCGCTCCAAGAAAGTAGATAATTGTTGAAGGGTTTTACTATAAACACTATAACATAGTATACATTCAAAAACTTTTTCCATTTTGATTCTCAAAACTCTTAGGTAACTTTTTATGCAGTCTTCAACCAACACTTATCAATATTTAGGGAATAATTGGATGCTTTTTGTTTTATTTTTGCCGACTTTATTTTTCTAAAATTTTTGTATTGTTTCATTGAATAACATAACTGATCTGCCAGACAAATTCGAGAATTTTTTACTGGATTTTTTTTTTTAATATAATGCCCATCTTCAATATAATGTTTATTACATTTACAAGATCTACTGCAAATGCAGATTTTTAAATTAAAATACAATTTTCCAATATAAGTTTTGATACAACTGTTGTAATGTATTGTTTGGTAAACTGTTCTAATATTGAACCTATTATTATAAATTATTTTATTTTTTTAGATAAAACTTGAATGTTTTGCAAGTCATATTTTTATTTTATTTTGAAGGTAAATAAATTTCTATTTTTTAAATCTTTCAAATAAAGTCGTACAATACATTTTTTAAATACTGTTAGACTTCAGTTAATAGATTTATCTACCTTTAAAATAAAGTAAAAAATGAATTCCAAATTTTACTTCAATTTTGTCAATTTGATGTTTTGAATAGTAATAAATTAATGTGTTTCCAAATATTCTCTAAATCTTAATAATTAAAGATGAGAGTAATATTAAAATAAATAATTATCTATTCCCATGGAAAGTAGATGAAAAGAAAAAAAATGTCTTATATTTGACTTTTAGTTATTTTGATTGCCTAAATATTTTAAGAACAATGTGAAATATTTTTGATTAGGTACGACTAAATTTATAAAATCAACCCTAGTCTGTGCAGGGATTCCTGAAACGTCGATTCAATGATTCCGAATCGAGATCGAAATAATATCGATATATCGGTACTCTTAAAATTATGCCATCGAAATAATATCGAGAAACCGCCCAATCGAATCGATATAATATCGAGGAGTCTTAGCTAGCCGAAATGATTTGCTCTCTTCTATCACATGTATTGACTGTTGCTGTTTCTTTTCAACATTACAAATATGTGTTTGCGTTTGTGTTTTGTTTATTTTTATGTATTTAATCTAACCCAATGTTAAGTACTTAAATACTTGGTTATATATATCTACAACTATTTGAATAGTTTTAGAATGATACCTTTTCTGTTAACATAATTATGTACCTTCTTCTTTAGGAGCAATCATTGATATTAATAAACAATGGTACTTATGCATTAAATAAATATAAATACTGCATAATATTATAAATCTTGTTCTTCTCATGAGTGTGTATTTACCGGAATATTTTTTTCTAACTGTCGGTGAAAATTTTATCCAATTGTTGTAGAGGTTTTAATAAATATCTTCTGTGACTTTCTTTTGTACCTCTATTAATAGTTTAAGAAGTCTACTCATTCCAGTGATGTTCACCGTGCATAAAACCAGAAAGCACAATAATTTAATATTGATATGAATAATTTCCGAAGTTTCTTTTACTCCTTTTAAACGTTTAAAAAACAATAGATGTAATTAAATGCATAACATACAATATTTGTATGTAAACGAAATAATTACACAAATTTTTTGTCCGGTAAAGATTAACGGATCCATTAAACCTCTTATAACTGTCGTCTCCAAATATGTTCAATCCTAAACACTTCTCCTTGCTCTAATTTTTCAACAATACTTAATAATCACAGGTAGTATTTTATGTTTTTTTATTTCAAACCTAATAAAAATTTAGGACGTGGAATATCAATAATTTGTTGAGTATGTATGCATAAAACCTTTAAATATAAAGGACATTTAAATCAACTTTCATGGTTTACTGTTTAGACTAAATAAATAATTTTATAAACTTCTGTTTATTTATTTGATGATAAGTATTCATTTAAAAATTTAAATGTGGTGGTATATCGATAAAACGACATCGAGATTTCAGGAGTCCCGCTACTGATTTGTTAAAAATGTTATTTTTATTTTCATTGTGATGGAAATACCTGATAAAATAAAAATAGTAAAAAATTTTAAAAATAAGTAAACACAGACAATATCACAATTAATAAACATTCAATAGTAAAAATCTGCTTAGTTGATTACGTATGAAAAAATTGTAGATGTTTGCGAAAATTAACTCGACATTTTTACAGGTTTCATCATTAATAATTATCACTACTTTTGGTCAAAGAAAAAACAATCTCACTATGGGAATGTCAATGAAATTGAAAAAGATACATTACATTAATTAATTTTTTTTATCAAGTTCCAAAAAAATGTTCATTTGAGCTCCTATATAACTATTTATTTTCAACACTATTTTCGTACGAAATAGACCTACTATTTTCGTACGAAATAGACCTACTTACTTAACACTAGCTTCTGATGCAAGAGACTGAATTTTGAATTAATGAATAGTTAGCAACATGGCAATTAAGTCCAAAATAAAATTAGGATTATACTAGAACAGTGAATTAATTTTAAGAGATTCATAATAGATGGTATATCTTATGCTAGATCGCATCGGACACTTCTGTAACTCTGTCTTTAGGCTTTATTATGTGTCATTTTGCTGAAGTGTAAATAACATATTTTTTCTCACATGTCGAATTACGAACCAACAAAAACCATTTGTGGGAAGTTTTACTTTTCCTGTTTAATTTAAAGTGATGCTGAAAGTCATCAAGTGCTGTTAGAAACTTATGGTGAAAATACTCGATCAGTAAAAATGTGTGATTGATTTTGACATTTTAGAAGTGGCGATTTCGATACAGTAGACAAAGAATCTCTTGGTCATATGAAAAAGTTCATGTCAAATGCAAGATGAACTTGCTGAATCGTTAAATGTCGATTGCCCAACAGTTTTTAAACGTTTAAACACACTTGATATGATTGAAAAGCAAGAAACATGTGAACGACTGCTTCAACGGCAAAATAGTCCAGTCGGGTTAGACAAAAAAAGGGCTTAACTGGGAAAAAATTAGGGACCACAATTTTATTGTTCTAACCTTTAGGGGGGGGGTCAATAGTAGTGTAAATTCAGAATAGCGACTGAATTCCACCCCTGCATCAGCCGCCATTTTGAATTTAAGGAAAAATCGTTTTTGGTCAATATCTCTGCCATTTTCAACTTTACAACAAAAATGGTAAGGACTTATGTTGTTGCAAATGCGATTTCCTACAATTTCTTTTTTTACAAATTTTATCGTGCGATCGATATTTTTCAAGTTAAGGGGGAAAATAGTGACAAAGTATAATTATTGAATTATCTCGTTTGTTATTGACTTTACGACATAAATGTACATAAACAAAGTTGGAAAGAATTATATTTTCTACAATTTTGATCTGTTTGATTTTTTCGCTATAACCAATATTTAAGGTCCTACGCTAGCGGTAAATACGCGAGCGTAGGACCTTGCGGGAGTTGGTTTCAAAGGAATTGTTTTTGCTCAATATCTCGGCCAAGAGATCAAAATTGTAGAAAATATAATTCTTTCCAACTTTGTTCATGTACATTTATGTCGTAAAGTCAATAACAAACGAGATCACTATTGTCACTATTTTCCCCCTTAACATGAAAAATATCGATCGCACGGTAAAATCTGTAACAAAAGAAGTTGTAGGAAATCACATTTGCAACAACTTAAGTCCTTACCATTTTTGTTGTAAAGTTGAAAATGGCCGAGATATTGAGCAAAAACAATTTTTCCTTAAATTCAAGATGGCGGCTGATGCAGGGGTGGAATTCAGTCGCGATTCTGAATTTACACTACTATTGATCCCCCCTAAAGGTTAGAACAATAAAATTGTGGTCCCTAATTTTTTCCCGGTTAAATGACAACCCGACTGGGCTAAAAAAGAAAGGGGATTTTGCATTGTATCGTCAATGGTGATGAAAAATGGATATGCTACGATAATCCTAAAAGTAAAAAATCGTGGTTTGCCTGGTTACGCAACATCAATGGCAAGGCCAAATATTAATGGTTTGAGGCTCTTGCTCTGTATGTGATGGTATCAGCTTGGTGTTGTGTACTATGAGCTGCTTCAACCGAATGAAACCAGCATTGGAAAGCGGCCGCAATTCGAGCAAAGGTACAACACGACAACACTTGACGACATGTTGCTCATGAAGTCAAAAAATACTTAGAAACGCTGAAATGGGATATTTTATCCCACCCGCCATATTCACCAGATATTACTCCATCGGATTACTACTTGTTCTGATCCGTGGAACAGGGCCTGGCTAAGCAGCGCTTCCAACGTTATGAAGACACGAAAAATTGGATCGATTGGTTGAAAGCATCAAAAAATGAGTTGTTCTTTTGATATGGAATCTGTATGCTGCTAGAAAGATGGGAAAAAGTAGTGGCTAGGGATGGACAATACTTTGAAAAATAATAATGTACACAAGTTTTCAGAACAAACCCTTGAATTTATAATCCCTCAAAATTAATTCACAGTCCTAGTATACAGAAAAGTTAAGGAGGCTTCAACTGGAATAAAAATGAATATTCATGGTGTTCTATTAAAAAAATACACATACACACCCTTTTGCAGCACTCTATACACAGATCATCCTTTTTCGATCTCATTGAGACTACCACAATGGGATGGGATTTTTTTTCTGACTATACCCTGTGTATTAATAAATAATTTATTTCATACGTTATATAAATAAAAATGACCATACAAACTTGTAATTAAAATTATAAAATACCTGTATTACATCGTGACGTCTATTCACCGTTTCAGTGTCTTGTCTTGATCCGAATAACCAGTTTAAAATATCATCATTTGTGGCTTTGGAAAACCAACTGTTATGATATTCTGCAATCACCTCAGAAAATACAGAAAATTCCACTATACTTGCATTTAAGTCAATCTGCCGCAGTGTCTCATTAATTGTAGAGATATTCTGCAGATGCGTTCTGACTTGATGCCACATTTGAATAACGGTTGCATTATTAATATGTCTATGGTTTCTGATATTGTATTTATTGAGACGTTCATTTTTGGATTGTCCACCAACTCTTATTATGTCTTCAGTAACTTCTAATAAACCTTCCAAAAACTGATCAAGAGCGTGATTAGTGAAGCATATAACCAACATAGGAGTTTTTTTGTACCAACACGACTTATTATTTATCAATGTGTGTGCTATTTTTAAGCCTAAAAATGTTTTTCCAGTACCAGGAGGACCTTGAATAATAGAGAATTCATTAGTTAATGCCGCTTTAAAAGCATCGTGTTGTGCATTGTTTAAACCATAAAATTTTTTGTCACTCCAGTTTAACGGCCAAAATGTATGCTTTTCAATTGTATAGAATACGGGGTTGATGTTCAGAAGATAATCCGGTGCACTAGTTTCAGTTTCCACCCTTATAATATATTTTTCCATGGGAAAGTCATCCGTTTGAATTGTTTTAAGCACATTTAATACTTGATAGTACGGCTCAAAAAATACTTTACTTTCTACCATTAAATAATTTTCTTCAAATATGTTTCTTGGTAAATTTACATCCTCATTAAAACCAATAATAAGATGTCCTTGTTCCAAATCCTTTATGTCACGTTGAACGATTTTACCAAAAATAACAGATTGAAAATGATCGCTCGTAAAACATAGCAAAGAACCAAATATAAATCTTCTAGAATTTTCGTATTGAAATGTTTTCTTTTTACCTGTAAAATCATATTGGATTCGGTAGCAGTTTTGTTCATTAACCGTTTCTGTTTTTAAAAAACGTACAGTTTTATAAATTCTAACATCTTCAAGTCTCTCATTAGTATTTTTCAAATATTTGCAGACACCTCTTCTTAGAGGTGCAACAAAGTCTTCTCTTAGTAATCTAAATTGCACGTCTAAGTAGTGGTTAACATTTTGGTAAGGTCCACTTATTACATTAGGTCTTAAGAAGGGAGATTCTAGGGATGTAATTTCTTCTCCAGTGGGATAAACGCTTATATTTCTAAAATCATCTGGTGGTTCTAATTCAATCGGTGTATTATTCATTGTTATGTCTTTGGCATGCTTTTTCTCTAATTCCTCAACTGTTTTTCCCACCACATCACAAAGGTTTTCTATTTTTTCTTTTATTTCACCTGATATGTGTATTAGGTGATTATTTTCTATCACAGGTATATATACTTTCATAGCCTTTAAAATCTTCAGTGTTTTCTCACAAGTTGTTAATCGCATTAAGTCATGAATATTTTGGCACATATTCATTGTGTTATTCCAAAATTCATCAGTGTCATTCCAGAAATGTTTACTATTGTTTTTCTCTTTTGCATTCTGCAATAATAAAATAATATACACAGGGTGTAACAGCTACACGCGAAAAATTTTTAGCGTTGGTTCCTCACAGAAGATATAGGCCTCGAATTTGGTACAATTTAGTTTCTTTATAATAGCTACCTATACGTATGATTTAATTAAAAACTTACCCAGTAACATATAAGTTAAAAAGAGCATGATAGTACGAGTTTTAAAATTTTAAAAATTTACTTAGCATCTGAGAGAACCCTAGAAACAAAAATATTTATATCCAAATAAAACCCATGTTTCTTGAATATTTTTCATATTTTTACTGTCTACGCTTCTAAAAATTCAAAAATCATATCAAAGTTAGGCGTACATTTTAGTGCTGGCAAAAACTGGAAAAAAGTGAAACCGGTTAACCGGGTTCCGTAAAAACCGATTTCAGATAAAACCGGTTATTCGAATAGTTGCTAAAACCGGTTATTCGAATAACCCGTTACTTGAATCGCCAAAACCGGATATCTGAAAATCGGTGCTTTACAAAGATAGACCTGGAGAAATTGTCTAAAAAAAAAGGTCTTTACAAAAATCTGGAAGTCAAATTTGTTTACAAAGACACAAAAGTTTTATTTGGTTTATACAAATGTGTAAAAGATTCCCTGTAAGGTAAAATGACTTTTTTTGACAGTTGAAATCTCTCACTCTGACGNCTGAAAATTAGAATCTGGAATTTTGCACAAAGACCCATTTATTTGAGTAAAAGATAGTTAGGCAAATAGATTCACCCTTTTAATAATTATTATTATATACCTCCAATTGTTGATAAGAGCAAAATAATTTTTAATTTTATCTACGATCTGTTGTTGAAAGGTGCCTAGTTTTTTTTACCGTGAAGGTTGCATTCTATGAAAATACTCGACACAAAAGTTTTATTTGGTTTATACAAATGTGTAAAAGATTCCCTGTAAGGTAAAATGACTTTTTTTGACAGTTGAAATCTCTCACTCTGACGGCACTGGATATTTTTTGAACAAATTATACATGTAGGTAGATACCATAAAATAACTAGACTGTACCAAGCTTAAAATCTTGATCTTCAATGATTCTTGAGTAATATAAATGATCAGAAATTATGTTTGTCGATATTGACAGAAAAAACTTGGAGCGAGGAATCAGCTCTGAAAGTTTGTCGCAACTTTGCATATTGAGATCTAATGAAGAGAATATCTCAAGTTAAGTAATTATTTCAAGTATATATCCTGTCTCTTTAACACATGTTCTAATTTAATAAAAACATTTTTTTTGACTTGCAATTTTAAGGAAGTTATAGTTCACCACTCACCTAAACCTCTGAGTACCTAATGGTAATTATTAGGAACAATTTGCTTGTCGATTCTACAATACAGGGTGTCTCATCCTTTAATTGGGTAAATTTAAAAGGCGATAGAACTTGCAAAAATAAAAACAAAAGTTCATATGAACTTCTATGTTTTAAAATTTTGTTTTTTGAGGTAAAGGTGTGAGAAATTAATAAAAAAACTTTTTTTTCAAATACATATCTCAAAATCTATTTGGCCGATTTTGATAAAACTTGGCCGGCTTTTAGTAATAAATACGGGGCTTAATTTGATGTAATTACGAGTAATTTAATTATGCCAGGGGCAGTTGATACACACATTTGGAAATATTTCGACATTAAAGTAAAATAGTAGGTATATATTTATTTATTATTTGGTTTAACATAAGCCATAAAAGTAGGTACCTAACATATTTTCCTCTTAAACACTGTTGTCTAATAAGCTGAAATAAATGCTAATAAAAAAACATACCTACAAAACAACCCACGCTCAGGATCTTGGGCAATCTTGAATGATTATGATATAGAACTTAATAATAAGGGTGTTTTCAAAGTTTTATAAGAACTCTTAAAAAGAGGTAATTTTTCCCAAAATCATCAATAGATTATAATTTACAAAAATTGTACAAAGTTGTCACCTTTCGTTTGATGTGTGCAGTCTTACTAGGTGATTGTAACGAATGTACTCTTTAATAATGGTATGGATAAAATGGACTCTGTTTTATTGTCTTCCATACTTTACTGTGTGCCATTCCAATTTGATTTGCTATGAATCTAGTACTCACTGTTAGATTTTTGTGGTTGCATGGGAATTAAAAGCATGTTTACAAGTTTATTCTTTTCGTAAATGTGTTCACAAAAAACCACAACCAAAAAAGACACTATTTATTGTTTACACTGGCCTTTTGCAGTAAATTTTCAAAAAAAAAAACAACTAGGCGATTTTCGGTAAAATTACTAGTTTTATGAGTTCTATATCTTGTTAAAAAAAAATAATTCAACTTTGAGAATACTCTATAAATATATACTAGTGCTTAAGTTAAATCGAATAAATATTTTTAGATTTATTTGTATCTATTAAATAGCCACTGAAACTTAAAAGTGTCACCATCACTCTTTAAATACTTTAGAAATTATTTGGACTCCACAAGGCATATATGATAGTCAAGAATTGGTGCCAATGAGGGTGTAAAATAACCTCCATGGTATATGATATAGTTACTCCTAGTCTTATAGTACTTAAAATAAAAAAATATACGTATTTAACCTGCCTGGATTGCTACTGTTGATATGAACTTTATTAAATTGTCTACAAGTTCACTGTTGAAAGCCATTTCTAAAAGACGGATTTTGGATTCTGTAAAATTACTAGCACATATTAAGGAAAGTAATTTAATTAACAGAACAATCAAATCATTTGATGTATTTGGATTATCTAACAATTCTTTAAAACCTTTTCTGTCATTATTCAGTGTTACTAGAATATCTTCAAGATCACGACTTTCTATTAGATTTTGCACGTATTTAAATCCCATGTGGCACTTCCTTGCTGTCTTATCATAATTCCTTTGGTGAGAACCACCAGCCCTTGATCTTTCATTTTCATTAACTGGATATCTTCTTTCTTGGTCATTTCTAGACCTATCTCTTCTATAGAGATCCCTCCTATCACCATCTAAAACATTTTATCAAAATATTTAATATGCAATATACATGGTTTATTTATTTCTATTTTTTAAATAACAACTTAAAAGAAAAGGAGACATCCTTTATATTATTTTAACAAAAAAAAAATCCCACAAAATATGTCCCAAATGACTGTTTTCTTCATACAGAATGTAAAAATAACCCACCTACAAAAATATCTTGAAAATAATCATTAATGAAAATTCAGCTCATGATTTAATGAAGTAAAAGTAAATATTCACTGATTTTGTATATGTTATATCAATCAGTGGCAGATATTGGAGACACCGTCACTAAGAATATTATTTTCGAAATTTCATCAGTTCATTCGATTTCTATAAATTATATTCCCTTGTAGTATTTAAGTAAGTAAGTATTTTATTCCTCTGTCACCTGTTAAAAAATATGGTTCAGGCCTCTGCAGAGCTCCAGTGTTGAAATATGGATCAAGAATATTAATATAAACATTTGTAGCTGGCACAAAGTGCTTTTATCAGCAAGTTGATAGCATTCATAGATTACCTTCCAACTTATCACTATTCCCATTGAAGGCCATCATTTCTACTTTTTACTGTAAGCGATAGCAGTTGGGGACACTCCGTATAGGGACCAATGGAGCTGCGTTGATGGATTGAATGCTGAGGCATCAGTTTATTTAGGATTATATAGTTTACATTTACGATGTAGAAGTTAGTGTCAGTCAGTGTGTCAGTCAGTCAGTCAGTCATATAGTTCGTTCTCGAGTCTTAACTGCTCTACATGTCTATGCATTATTATTTTCTCACAATATACTGTTTTACATTTCTCCTGGGCATTTTTTTATTTTCTTGTTTGAAAGAGTTTAAACACAGTTTAAAGTTATTTAACAAACTCTTCAGACCTATACTTAAGACAAAAAACTGCAACATAAACTTCTTACAAACTATGATATAAAAAATACGAAAATATACTGTTTTTGACTGATAATCCTCATGAAACAGAATACTACACTGTCGGAAAGAGAAGACGGATGCCAAATCTCGGATGTAAACACCCAGTCATCTTAGCATTGGGAGTCGAAATAAAAGGGGAAAAAAGAATAAACATTTTAGATAGAGTGGAATAAGGAGCTGATTTGGTGGAGTCATTCATTGCATATACATGAACGATATAACAGGTCAAATACTTGCACTGGACACTGTGTGAAGTTAATACAATTATCTTGATTTTACAAAATTTCCTAGTTTTGTTTAATTATTTTTAACAATACTAAAAGTTCCTTCACATCTTAATTATACAAATTTAAAATACAAATATAACATATTTTCGGTTTAGTTTGTTTTAGATTACTTGTTTTTGGTGATACATTTCAGTGTATTGTATACCTTGCTTTCTTTGTTCACTTGATAGGTAATTGTTAATAATTCAAAACTTGCTGAAACAAGCATAAATAGAAATTTATTGTTAATCTCAACCTAGCATAAACATGTGATAAAATTAAATAAAATAAACATTAAAGTGTTGAGTTTCATTTTTGCCTATATGCAGATATTATTACTACAAATAGATTTTAATATTCTAAGGTGTGTAACTAAAGAAAAATATAAATATGTACCTAAAATAGACCTCAATGGGGATTACTATCAGGACAGGTCAAAAATGGATCAGTGTGACGATAAGACGAGAAGATTCCTTTTTATAAGTGTCTATTAAAATGATTTAAGAAAAATATGTGAAATTTTAGTCGCATCTGATTTTAAAAGACAACAATAATGCATTAAAATTTGATCAGCAACAAGTAAGTTTATGGGGATTACATCATTATTGTTGATTTTAAATTACCTACTAGAACTAGATGTCGTTAGACATGACATTTCTCATAATCGGTGACATTTTAAAATATAACTTTGAGGTTAAGTGCTGCATACATATCAGATCAGAATGCAAATTTCATTTTACACAAAAAACTACTCTTATTAAAATTCCTGAAAATTTACCGTTTTTGAGAAAAATTTAATTAATAATTTCCACTCATAAATAATTCAGAACGTTTTTAATCCAAAGTAAACTAAAAATGAAAAGAGCTATTCCTTCAATCATAACGGCATTTTTAACACAATTTTTTGTTCTCTTACAAGAGCCATTTCATTTATCTGGAGACACAATGTAAATGAAATACTATTTTGACATGAAAAGTACTAAGTTTTCGAAATGTTTAATACGTTTGATGTACCTACCTGAAATAAATTATCTTTTTATTAGAAAGACTTCCTTATCAAAATGGTAATATAAATTTTATAATTCACTTAAATTACTTGGTCACTGTTGGTATTAATAATAGCAAACATTTTCAGCTAAAAACTAATTTATAGCCCATTACAGAGATATTAAAATTAGAAATCGTCTTATCAGTTTATTTTTGAAAAGTTAATGACAAAGAATCGCGTTTGTTCTTTTTTTTTCTGTACCTGTTTTCTAAGTTTTAACAACTGAGGATACTCGATTACTCATTTTTGAGGCAATCGCCCATTATTGAACAACAATTAGGTATATTTTTTATCTTAAATATATTTTTTTGTAGGAATTTGAAGACATTTAAAAAAACAGACTGAATTTTGTTGTGATAAAATTGTTTAGCTAAAAAATTAATAAACTGGATATTTTGTCCTGATAAGATAGATAGTAAAATAAAAAATATATCTGATACAAATTGTTTTAAAATCTTTTTTGCCATCATATATATTGGGTATCTAACGCTGAATCTCTACAAAAATGGTGTTGTATGTATATATGTTATTAAGCTTGGTAAAAATAAACTATTAATGCACAAATTCTTAAAACACAAATTATTGCTGATGGGAAATACCTGAATCACGTCCATCTTGACGAGTGATTTGAAAATGGATTGGCTTTGAATTTCTGCCAGTGTTATAATTTCGCCAGTTTCTGGGATCTCTGTCTTTAGACCGCGAGCTAGACATTATTTATAACGTTTTTTAACACTATAATCTTCTCAAAAAAGAATGTAGCACAATAACAACAGAAAATGTCAACAGTCAATTCACCAACGCAAATGTAATAATGTAAGAATGAATTTACTCTATATTTTGAGAGGAGGGGCAACTTCATTTCATAGTTATTGTTCAGTTGATCTCTGAAATACTTGGACATCTGAATTTTTATATTAAGAAATAAATAATGAGCAATAATCAGAGACACAACATAAGTTAACTCGTTTTATCAAATCGTTTATTTTACATGTTATTATAAAACTAAGAGTTTCGTTTTCGTGATATCAACTTTTCAGTTCCTGCTCTAATATATTTGGAATGAAATAGGTAAATATATTACACAAATGGGGGAATTACCAACCATAACTTTTGGGTTACCAACCCACCAGTCCAGTGATGTTACGACACGTGATTGATTATTTTTTTTTATGGAGTTTGCATGCACAAGGAGTGAAGCATGCTTAGATCATATATTACTGGAGGCAGCGTTCCAGTGGCCGAGAGTGTAGGGGAGGTTTAGAGAGAGAGAGAGAGAAGTATAGGAGTGTGTATATATACCCTAAGTCAAGTGACCTAGGATAAAATCGCGCTACATTGATTTAAAAAGCAACTCTATTTCTGATTAGGAAATTACTTTTTTTTATAGTAACACAATATTTAAAAAAATACTGTCAAATTTGTGTAAAATTTGTAATAACATTTAATACCACATAATGGCTATAACAAATCGGCCGTCTGAAAATGCCTTCAGTCGCGTGACCTTAGACTAGTTTCATCCCACTTTACATGTTGTCCCCTGCCCCCTAAATAAAATTATATATTTTATTTCGTACGCAATTGCCGCTAAAATCAAATTGAGGTTTGAGGTTACAATTAATATTCTTAAGTGCGCCATTATTCTATGGCTAGAAATTGGCCTCAATGATTTGGGATCGAGGGGGATTATCCCTCTTTATCCTGCCTCATCTCGTGTAGGCCTGGACAGCCTTCGTAGGTGGGCCCCATCCGTCGTCTACCCCGACCGCAAATGCGGCCGGTGTAGGCGCTTTGTGGGACCTCCTTTTGTCCTGGCTGGGCCCCGCCGGCTAGGGCCCTTTCTTCTGGCGCTCTTCTTGCTTCGCCGGCTCGTCTGTGTAAACCCCGGGGGTAGTGTCATGTTTATGTGTGGTATGGTTGGGTAGGGTAGTGCGGCTATGCAGCCTGGGATGCGCTTTGCTAAGGTGGCCCTTAGGCTAGCGCGGGAGGG